TTTTTTTTTTTTTTTTTTTTTTTTTTTTTTTTTTTTTTTTTTTTTTTTTTTGTCTTTTTCCGTGTCCGGCAATGGATTGCAACCCTCGGTGTCGCCCCCGTACCGGACCGGGACCGGAAACGGGATCGCAACCCTCGGTGTTGCTCCCGCGCCTCGCTCAGCCAGTGAGCGGGAACCGGTCTGTATGTGGGATCCAAACCCTCGGGCGGGAGCACCGCCACACTTCCCAAGCGGCACACTATCCAGTGCGCCACCGGGCCGGCCCTTGTCTTTTTATATTAGTTAAAATCTCTCATTTTTTCACATGAACTTAATTTCTTTTAAGGTAAATATTAGTACTTGCTTTTGTTACATTCAGAAGTGAGTTTAATTCTTGCTTAGAATTCCATACCACTGATTTTCATAAAAGACTTCATCTGTTTATTTATGTTGATCTGAGGTTATAATAAATATAGGCATCCACTCTGAAATTAAAGGTTCTTTAAGCACATACTTTTTTTAAAAAAGAAAAGAAAATTGCCTGATACATGCTCTCTTTCTTTTTCAGGTGGGAGATGTTGCTGTTTTTCTCCTGATGGTAAAGCTTTAGCTGTAGGTCTCAATGATGGAAGTTTCTTAATGGCAAATGCAGATACTCTAGAGGATCTTGTGTCTTTTCACCACAGAAAAGATATTATTTCAGATATTCGGTTTTCACCTGGTAAGATTCCATTGAAGTTGTATTTGATTGTTAACTTGGGTCTGGCAGTGAATAAATATATCAGTTTGTAATTTTTAACTGTTATTTTTATCTCAGTATTTTACTTTTTTTGACTGGAAGAGGCAGTGTGGTGAGAGGTAAAAAGCCCTAGATTAGATGGGTGCAAATATGTGGCTTAGTGCCAATTCTGTCACTAAATTTTTTGTGTGTGATTTGGGGCAGGGTATCTCTCTGAGCTTCAGTTTCCTTATTTGTAACGTAAAAGGGGTTGGATGGCTGTTTTCCTTCTCTTAATGCTTTAAAAATTGTACTAATTTTACTCTATTTATATCCATGTATTCATTACTACAAAACCTGCTGTAGTAGGTTACTAACTAATGTAGGAGTTACTAAAGTTAATGCAAAGGTTACTTATGTTAGTTTAGTTACATTTTTTCTAAATTTAGAGGGGTTTTTTTGGGCAAATACAAAGTATATCAAAATTACATTTTATGTAATTTTTGACATTTGCTCTCTATTGTACTAATTTGCTACACCAAAAACAATAACTACATTTTGTTAATTGTAATATACTTGAAAAATATGTTGTCATTTGATACATTTATTTTGTTATGAAATACCTAAGATTTCTCAAAAAAAAAATCAGGAAAATTAACTCTAGTTGCAGAATGTAAAAAGTATTTACAAAGGTAGAAAATATCAAGCAAATATGTTTCTATTATAGGTTCTGGGAAATATCTAGCTGTAGCATCCCATGACAGCTTTATAGATATATACAACGTAATGAGTAGTAAACGAGTAGGAATATGCAAAGGAGCTACCAGTTACATAACCCATATTGACTGGGATATTAGAGGTAAGACATTAAATAACTTAATATTTGAAAAGGTTTCATTTGATTTAGTATAGCTATTTTAGAGAAACAGAAGTGAGTCAGCAGATAAGTTCAAAAGCATTGTGAAAAAGAAATATTATTCTCAGAATTATTTTCCACTTATATTTTACATCTGCAGATGAACGCAATAGAGTTTAGACTTTCCAGTACTTCACCTAATGTCATGCAAATGTTACTACAGTAAGTGATAAGATGTTTAGTTTGTAAAGTAATTTAAATATTATAGAAAAAAATTGTCATGATAATGTCCTGGTTTTTGTCAGATAAATTTGACATAAATGGTAGCTTCAAATTTGGAAAACAGAAATGTTAATGAGGACTTTAATGTCGTTTTCCATCATTTGATATAAAATACGTTCCCTAAAAATAATCATAATTGTATAACATAAAGAATTTAATGAGTTTGTTTCTTAGCAGAATGCATGGCATTTAACAGTGTTTAATAAGTTTGGATTAATGTTAAATTTTTTTTTTGTCTTTTTTTGTGACCGGTAAGGGGAATGCAACCCTTGGCTTGGTGTCGCCTGCACCGCACTCAGCCAGTGAGCGCACCGGCCATCCCTATATAGGATCCGAACCCACGGTGGGACTGCTACTGCACTCCCAAGCGCCGCACGCTCCCGAGTGCGCCACGGGGCCGGCCCAATGTTAAATATTTTAAATGCTCTCTTTTTAAGGATTTTATTGTTTCATGTATTCAACTACATAAATCTAGAATTATGCATTGAAGTTTTTCCAAATATTATTAAAATACTTACACTTACTTTTTAAAAAATATTCCAACATTTGTTTATAGGGGTTTTTTGCATATTCATGATAACAGAAATAGTTTGTATGTATATACATTCACAAAAATTGGATCATTTATGAATTGAGTTTCTTCATTATGTGGAGATTAAGAAAATAAAATTATCTTAATATATGTTGACTACAGAGGAAAAAGGTTTTCATATTAAGCTTAATTTTTCCCATAAAATTTAAACATCATACTAATGGTATGTGTATTTATATATATTTTATATATGTACTGCGTTTTTTTTTTCTTTTCTTTTTTTTTTTTTTTTTTTTTTTTTAAGGAAAGCTTTTACAGGTCACCACTGGCGCTAAAGAACAGTTATTCTTTGAAGCTCCTAGAGGAAAAAAACAAACCATCCCCAGTGTGGAGGTAGGAAGATAGTGGTGTTTGTAGTGGTATTTATATGAGTAAGAGTGGCTGGAAAACTGATGCCAACTTTCCATCATTTAATTACACGTGAAGCCTCTTGTGAAATTATTTGAATTATAAATATTCTTTGAGTGAGTTTATTTTAGTGGGCCAGAATGCTTAGATGGGTAAAGGAAGAGATACTGTATTAAGAAAAGGAATAAACCACTTTTGTGTCTGGCTGTGCTCCAAACTTTTCTCAAAGGGCAAGAAGCATATGATAGCAAATAGAAGACATACCATCAAGGACTGGAGTACTGCAATTGTTTTGACATGGCCTAGGAAGAGAGGATCAACAAACTTAACATGGAAGTGTCTTAATGAAGGGAGGGACTATAAGTAAATGTCCTTAATTTCCTGAAATGGTTAGTTGGAAAACATGGCTATAATGCATTAGTAAAAATTTAGACCTGAACTTTAAGAATGTTTCTTCATTATCTTAAGGGCAAAACCAGTTTTATTTATTATCAGTATATGCTCAGCATCTAGAACACACACAGTTGGTTTGTAATAAGTACATCCTGAATAATGTTAAAATTTTTCTGCAGGAAGTAGTAGACTCTGCGAAGCCACAAAACCAAGAACTAGTAGACTCGAGGAAGCTGCAAACCAAGACTGCTATTAATTTAACTGTACTTTCATTAAAACTTTGATTTTCATTCTTACACATGTAATTACAAAGAAAAATGTTCTGATTTTGGTTGTTAGTTTTTTAGGCTTAGATATTACAAACTTGTGGCATTTTCTTTTTCCTTTGTAGGTAGAAAAAATTGGTTGGGCATCATGGACAAGTGTGCTTGGTTTATGCTGTGAGGGAATTTGGCCAATAATTGGAGAAGTCACAGATGTAACTGCTTCTTGCCTCACCAGTGACAAAATGGTCCTAGCTACTGGGGATGATTTGGGATTTGTGAAGTTATTTAGATATCCTACTAAAGTATGTGTTTTTCTTTAACTTTCCTAATGGTAATAATTATGAAAATGGTGAAAGTAATGCTCTTTCATAGCATTTTACTGTTGTAATATGAATAGTATATATGTAATATATAATGTAATATGAAAGGTTCAGAATTATCTTTCAAATTTATAGCTTTTATCTAGAAGTGTTATAATTTATGATCCTATGACTTAAGTTATACATTATATTGTACAGTGTTTTTCAGTATTGCATGATGGAAATATTCCTTTTAAAAGAAACATTTATTACTAGTATTATAACTTAAATAATTTTACTATTGTTTTAATTAAATTTATGCCAATAACAGTAAATATAAACTCTTTATATTTATGGCTTTAAAGTGTAAAATGTTTTAACCAATTAAGTATAAAATACATGTATAGAATTAAAATAAATATTGATTTAATGTGATGAATAATTTTTTTTTTGCTGAAACTAAACTGTACAGATTCTTTGGAGTTCTTCATACCTATGCCACTGTATGCAGTGTGATTACATTAGTCCTTTAGTATTCACAGGAGATTGGTTCAGGACCCCCCCCCCACGGATATAAAAATCTATGGATGCTCAAGTCCCTTAGTATAAAATGGTGTGGTATTTCATATAACCTATGCACATCCTCCAGTATTCTTTAAATCATCTCTAAATTACTTATGGGCTGGCCCGGTGGCGCACTGGAGAGTGTGCCGCTTGGGAGCGCGGCGGTGCTCCCACCGAGGGTTCGGATCCCATGTGGAGACCGGTTCCCGCTCACTGGCTGAGCGCGGTGCGGGCGCAACACCGAGGGTTGATATAACCTATGCACATCCTCCAGTATTCTTTAAATCATCTCTAAATTACTTATGGGCTGGCCCGGTGGCGCACTGGAGAGTGTGCCGCTTGGGAGCGCGGCGGTGCTCCCACCGAGGGTTCGGATCCCATGTGGAGACCGGTTCCCGCTCACTGGCTGAGCGCGGTGCAGGCACAACACTGAGGGTTGCGATCCCGTTACCGGTCAGTAAAAAAGACAAAAAGGAAAAAAATAAAAAATAAAAAATAAAATAAATTACTTATAATACCTAGAACAATGTAACCACTGTGTAAACAGTTACACTTTATTGTTTTTTATATCTACAGTTTTTATTATATTTTTTATTATTTTGTTTTGTCTTTTTTCAAATATTTTAATCCACTGTTGATTGAATCTGCAGATGTGGAAGGCTGACTGTACTCAATTTTATTTTTTTGCTCTGGCTGGTGCAGGGATTCAAATCACTGATGTTGGTGTTATAACATTACTCAATTTTTAAAAACACTTTCCTCTATTTAAACTACTGCAAAACATTAGGCTTTTGCTTAAAACAAAAATAAAATTTATGTATCAAATCCGATGTTTTTATTTCTTAATTGCCATAAATTGCTATATATTATAATTTGGCACCAACATGGATTTAAACATAAATTTGAAATTAGGTCATTGAAATTATATTGTGGCATTCAGTTCATGGTAGTCTTAAGTAACTGCTCATATTACTATTTTTAGATCAACATTGAAATGAAAACACAGGTTTAAAAATTCTCGTAGTGGGCCGGCCCGGTGGCGCACTGCTACAGTGCGCCGCTTGGGAGTGCGGCAGTGCTCCCGCCGAGGGTTCGGATCCCACATACAGACCGGCCGCTCACTGGCTGAGCAAGGAGCGGGTGCAACACCAAGGGTTGCGATCCCGTTGCCGGTCCCGGTCCGGTATGGGCGCGACACTGAGGGTTGCGATCCGTTGCCGGTCACGAAAAAAGACAAAAAGGAAAAAAAAAAATTCTCGTAGAGATCTCAGACACCCAAGAAAATATGCCATAGACCCCTCTTCTAGATACGTACAAGTGATAGAACCTTAGATGATAAGAATGTATTTCATTAAAACATTTATTAGTCAGAAACTTCACTTCCAGCATTCCAGATGGTATAGATCCTTTAGAAATAGGCTCAAGGATATTGGCCTACAGATTCCTTCTTCACCTCACTATAGCAAGAACCATACAATCTTAGAGAAACTACCTTTTTGTGGTGCTTTGATGATATATCCCACTCCCTAATTTTTTTTTTTTTTTTTTAAAGATGACCGGTAAGGGGATATTAACCCTTGACTTGGTGTTGTCAGCACCACGCTCACCCAGTGAGCTAACCGGCAATCCCTATATGGGATCTGAACCCGGGGCCTTGGTGTTATCAGCACCGCACTCTCCCGAGTGAGCCACGGGCCGGCCCTCCCACTCCCTAATTTTTGTTATAGTCTTCATTCCCAGAGGATTCCCTGATTTGGGGATCACTATGTTTTGTTTGAGATGTCTCTCATTTTAATACCCTTGAAAAGATGTTTACCTTTGATCTGAAATTTACTTATATAACTTGGTAATTCTAGTGTTCTAGATTTAAAAATTGCTAATGTCTGTAACTTGAATTTTTTCTTATATTGAAAATGAAAATAATTCCTATGTGTAGTGCTTATAAATGATAGCACTAATGAATTAAGATGAAAGATATTTACATGGGTACCTATATATCAAGGTGATTGATAATTACTTTTTGTTAATATAGTCACGTTGTGCATGGGATTTCTATCCTTTTCTCAGTTATTGTATCTTTTTCCAGCAATGATATATCTGTATAACCATTGTATTTAACAGATATACACTATTCCTTAAATATACACTGTAATTAACAACTATTACTTTACTGAACAGTTCATTAACAACTATTACTTTATTGAATAGTTAAAACTTTTCACTGCCGTAAGTAAATACTATGTAAGTATTTTTTGCACACATAGCATGTTCTTAGCATGGAACTCTAGATGGGAAATTCGTGAGTCAAAGGTGAGAACATTTTTATGCTTTACATACAAAATGCCAAGTTGGTTTCCAAAAGAGTTGTCCCCATGGTACTGGCAGTGTGTGAAACTATTTGTGTTATCCTGTCCTCAACAAGCTTGGGAATTGGTATTTTCTATTCTAGTGAGTTTCAGTATTTTTTCATTTTTTTTTTTTTACACATTGCACATGGAATTATTAATTTCTACTTAATAAGAAAGAAATTTAAAAATCAAAATTATAACTGAAAGTTTTATAATAATGAAACTTCTGATAAAATTTGTTTGAATTTTTTTCTCTTTAGGGAAAATTTGGGAAGTTTAAGAGGTATGTGGCCCATAGTACACATGTCACAAATGTTCGCTGGACTTATGATGACAGCATGTTAGTTACCGTAGGAGGTACAGATATGTCTTTAATGGTGTGGACAAATGAAATGGAAGGTTATCGGGAAAAAAGGCCTTGTGATAGTGAAGAATCTGATATAGATTCTGAAGAAGATGGAGGTATGTCATTTTAAAATATTTTTTTAAAAACAAAAAATTTAGCACAACATTTAAACTGAAGAAGTTAAAACAAGTAATAATAATGTTTGAATAATTGTGGTGTTACTGTTTTTGGTCTGTTCAATACAAATATTGGCTTTGTGACTAAAGAGCAGCAGGCTGGCCTATATTGATGACTTAGATATCCTTCATCTACAAATGTAAGACAATTGTATTTTAAATAGGTACTGTTAAAATAAATTTTATATTGGTGAACCTCATTTTAAAATAATTTTGATTTTTTCATAATACACCAGTAATACAAGCTTATTATAGAAAGTACATTTTTCACTAAAAAATACATAATCCATAATTCAACCACTCAAAAGTAACCTCTGTTAACATTTGGGGTATATTTTAAGGTATATGTGCATTTATGTACATAATATTTTAACAAAAGTGGGATCGTGTAGTACTTATTTTTGTAGGCTGCTATTATCACTTAGTAATGCTTTGAAAACATCATTACATATCATTAAATATTCTTCTACATCATTTTTACTGGATGCACATTATTTCCTAATTTGGTTATAACAGTTTATTTCATGTTGCTGAACTTGTATCCAATTTATAAGATAATTGATCTCCTCAGTTATCACTTAAAGAATAACTCTTATATTTTGTTGGTAGGTTATGACAGTGATGTTACAAGGGAGAATGAAATCAGTTACACCATCAGAGCCTTATCTACAAATATTCGCCCAATGTTTGGAATCAAGCCTCATTTGCAACAAAAAGAACCCTCAATTGATGAGAGGTAACAATCAAGTTTAAAATTAGATGAAGAAAAAGATATTAGTATTAAAAATTGAATTTATTATTTAACTAAATGGGTTTTTTGTAAAAACTAAGTAACAGTGATATTCATGCTTTATACAGTTTCCAGCACCTCTTAGAAAATATGTTTGTCTTTAAATACTTTTTGGTGGTGCCACTGTCCATGTGAGTAGTTTGGAGAATGATACGCAAATATAAAGTCGATATGACTAAAGTAATCTTATTTACTAAATTTTATAAGTATATGTGATGAGGGTAGGGGAAGATAATAAAAATTAAATCTAATGCCAAGTACTTTTTAAGAAGCATGTGAGTAGAACTACAATTTAATTTTTAAAAGATCCATCTATATGTGCCTTTAATCAAGGATAGACAATCATTATTTCAAAAATTTTCCAAAAGGCAGGTTGAAGTATAGCTTGTTTTTAATGGGAATTATTGGTCTTTATCTACAATCAGCACATCAAAAATAAGGACATATGCACAGCAATTTTGAGAGAGAACTTTGTAATAAAGTCTCCGAGCTAGATGACAGATCAAGAGAGAAATTGTGAACCTGATGTTTCTAAAATCAAAGATGGAAAATAAACAGGAAGATAGATCAGTGAATTGCATGGATTTCAGAAGTAGAGGTTTTAAGAAATGATAAGGAAAAATTATCCAGAAACAGCAGCAAGGAACAAAGAGGGTATAAGAGCCAAGAACGTCAGTGACTCCTGTAGAAGGCTGCGAGGAGGAAAACTTTATTATGAGAAGTTAGTAAGAATATTTGAGGGAAAAGCTAAAAATGAAAGGGAATTCATTCACAGTTGAACAGGATTTGTGGAAAATTTGAGTGAATGTACCATTAGTGAGGGTAGTGCTGAAGACGATTGGAGTTCAGCTAGTTTGAACTGACATTACAAGAAAGCATTGGCAGAGGGATTTTACACATCTGCGTTTTATGTTCCAGAAAAGAGATAAGTTAAAAGGGTGAGATGCACATTCATGATGAGGAAGGGTAGGATTAGAGATTCTGTTGAACTGACTCATGACTCACCCCAATGTTCCCAGGGAAGTTTTAGGTGGAATGTTGAGGTCGTGATGCTTCCTCAGCAACTCTTCTAGGTGTCTGGCTTACTGATGATACACTTGTGATAATAGCGATGGGTGGGAGGTCACCTAAAGAAAGGGGGTAGAGAGTGATCATCCATTTTGTCATCATGTATAAAGAGGCAAAGTAATAAATTAGAGATATATTTTTAGAAAGCTGACCATACCATAATCTACATACTTGTACAGAATTCTAGGTTGAAGCAACTTGGTAAAAGGCAGCATCATACAGTAGAAAGGACATGGATTTTGGAGTCAGACAAATGGGTTAAAATATTCATTTTCATCTTTTGCTGGTTGTGTGACCTTGAAAAAGTATTTGTTCTTTTCACACCTTGGTTTCCTTAGTGGTAGAATGCGCATCATATCCCTAACTTATGGAGTATTTCAAGGTTTTAATGAAATAATGTATATCAAGAATTTAGATAGTAGGTCTTCACCAATGACATCCCTTCCTTGAAATGAAATAGAGTAACCTGAGGAGATACCTAATAAATACTGAAACGCTATTTCTGATTAAATATTCACAAAGTAGTGAGTGCTACATATATTTATTAATTAGAGGAATATATATAAATATGTATGGAAGTGTGGATGTTCCTAATGGGAATATTTGTAATGCTTAATATTACTTAAAGGAAGTTATATCTCCTGGGTGATGAAAGGTAATGTTCTATAGGGAAGAAGGGACTGTAGACATTCCCATAAATCTCTTTCATTTGTTATATTGATTTTTTTTAAGGAAAAATATTACCATTTAGATAAATTTGGTGTGTCAGAAAATGTGACCTAATTTTAGTCGTAGGCCGTTATTTGTGGTAAAACACTTAAATTAATATTTTCTCCCTCAATTCTGAAGTGACCCACATTCTGACAGAAATGTTTTACTGCTCAAGAAGAATGACTAACACTGTCACAACTGTAATGTTTGCTGTTAGCTTGCATTTTTTGCAGCTTTTTCAAAATTATTTTTTAAATTGTTTTGCATTTTTTTCTCAATTTATTTTACAGTTTCAACTCTGCTAAATTCTTTTGAAAATGCCAAGGCAGAAGAAATCGTTAACATGACTCATAGTTAGGAGTCTTCGTTTTTATGCAATGAAAGAATCAAAGGAGACACAAATTAAGAGATTTTTTTTTAACCAATTTTGAATATATTTGTGAGGAGATAATGTGGTCTGTATGAATAATTACTTTCATACTTTAAATAAAATGTATTATTTTCACCAATATAAAACAAAATGCTTTATAATCAATTAAAACAGATATTTACCAAATATCTTATCCATTTTAAAGGAAAATGTTACTGACAACAATTGATAGCTACTCTGGTTGGCTGATACTTTTGTGAGGTTTTTTTTCCTGAATGATTTTAATGCTTTTATGTTTTTTTTTTTTTTTTCCTTTTTATCTTTTTTACTGACCGGTAACGGGATCGCAACCCTCGGTGTCGCGCCCGTACTGGGGACCGGCAGCGGGCTCGCAACCCTCGGTGTCGCGCCCGCACCTCGCTCAGCCA